AAATTGCGCACCAAAAGTTGAATATTTACTTTATTAACTGCTATTCCGAGTCTAGCAGTATGCTAGAACTTAATTTTTTTTTAAATTAATTTACTTGATGTATTTAATTTTATTATGGGTATTTACAAATTGCATTGGACAATCGCAACTAATACGATACACACCGTCGTGAGTTCTTTCTATTATACAATTTCAAGGCGGGTTAATTGAGTACGATCGGCGAGGACTGTTAAAAACCTTGGTCGTTCTTCTAATTATTACAATATGCATAACAAAAACTATGACAATCCGCAGTGATTTGTTGAAGACAGCCGCCCTACCTAAAAATTATTTATTCATTTATAAACGAATATTCGTTTTGTAGTGTTAAGTACGGAGGTAATGTACCAAAATCTAATCCAAATCCGATTGACACAGAAAAAACAATTTTAACATAATTTTTTTTCGCGGTCAAGTCTATACAGGTTGTACAGCGGCGTTTTTTATGTTTACCTATTTTGAATACTGTTTTTTAAAATTTTTATTGCGTCACAAAACCAGCGTCGGTCAAAAAACAAAATCATGATTTCATTTTCTTTCGAAAATCCAATATCGTCAATATGTTATTTTTTTTGTTTTTAGTTTAGCCCATGAACGACTGCGTGTAATATGTATAATTTGCGGTGTTTTTTAGTTGTGTGTGTGGTGTACCAGTAGTCGATACCATTTTGTTTTAATTTATTAATAGCGAAGGCCAAGGCGAGACGCGACGCATATGCAGACGTACATGTGCTAAACACTCGGCGTGCACACCGACAAATGCGCACCTCATTTAGGTAACACGTTGTTATTATTATTATTATTAGGCACAATAACGCGCGGCTATTAGGCCGAACAGTTTTGTATTTTGTTATGCAAATTCTAAAGGGAATTCTAAAAAACGGTTCTTCGAACGCGCGTTCCTTTTGTAACGACAGTCGACACAAACGCGTGCGACCATTTAGAGCAAATGAACGTCCCAAGTTGTCGGCCGGCAAAAACATCGAAAATATTGAGCGCTTTTAAGTACTGTATTTATAATTTTGGATTTGACATCTCTGCGACGACCGCCACACTGTAATCTCAAACACGCTTGACTGCAAGTCGATTTGAACGTCGTCGCACGTCGACATGTTTAAATATAGACTTCCTCTTTTTTTTTTTGTTTTTCCTACTTAATATATATATATGTATAAGGTACACACCGTTGTATAGATAGGACGTCGTGTCGGTTGTCGCGCGAACTGACGTCGTCGCACAATGTTTGTACGGTGTGCTTGTTTCTTGAAATAAACTTGGTCAGAAATAAATTGGACCAAGCTCAAACGGTTCAGGTGCACGTGCCATGCCGACCGTCGTCGAGCCTCGTTTGACTTCTTCGTCTTATTTATTTATTATACGGTGTAATTATACCAAACTCTACCATCGCTGGAGTCCAAGTGGCATCCGGATGGATCGTTCTAGGAGTGACTAATATAGTAGAAATGTAATTAAAAGATGGGAGATACGGTCTTATGACATGAATACACGTCTATTTTGACACGTGTGCGTCTATAAAATGTATATACATTACATTAAACGTATGTTAACGAAATCAAGGATTACAGTTTCGCATAACAACTACAAAATTAATGATTACAATGCAAATACAATTTACTACATGATAATTAAAGAATTTATTTCCCACTATAAGTGGGATTCCTTCTTATTATAACTTTACAGTATTTAATATCATAGTGATTTATAGTAATGCACCATTATTCATTAGTTTAATAATATAAAACAATATTTTACAAATTCAAACGTCCTCGTTCCATCGCACTTCGCGCGGGCATGTTTTCTCTGCAAGGGTCACCGGAATCTCATATGGGTTCATTTATAAACTTTTAATCATAGTGGCGCCCTCCAGTGGACAGTTGCGATTAAAGCCGAAGTCCTCGATTATTTTATAACCATACTAGACAGGTATTTTTTGACGAATCTTCTAGATTTGTAACTTTTGTAAATATCGTCGACCGCTTCGTCTGGGAAGGTGCTAAAGCGATTACCAGGAGGAAAGGGATTTGGCGCTAATTCGGCTTCGTTTTACACTGGCTGGTTGTTAACCCCGGGGTGTACGATTTCGGCAAACGCACCCTTCTGGATTGATTTGCGCTTATTCGACCCATACTCTCGTTTCAACCCCGTTCACCAACAGCTGCGGTTAGCCGTTTTGCTTTAAACATGAAATTATGTTTAGGTGTTAAAGCTGCTAACTCGGTTTGACGATTTAAATATTTCGTTTTTTACGACACACCACAAGGGCGGGAACTCGCCCAATGGTTCAAATGATCAGAGGCTTATTTACAAAAAAAATTCATCTAAACCTTATTTACTATACGAAATTTACTGAAAATAGCAAAATACTATTTTTTCACAGTTCCACTTGGAACTTACAAACTTGGCTTACAAACTTTTTATTTGAAATCAATATTTTTCCTATTCTTTTGTTCACAGAACCACATTCATTTTTTGTTACATTAAATTGTTATTTAAGTTGGTTTACGGTTCATTTCTAACAGCATGTAGTATATATTTTGTGGTTTTAAATGCAAATTTTTAGTATTTAAAAAAATGTACTGGCCGTTTCATCGATAACGTGCCGATCAATCGAACACTGTCAATATTCTGTTCTTTCTAAAATAGCTTAAGGTCAGATACGGTTAGAAACGTTGAACAGATTCCGGTTGTCGTCGTGAAGTGTCAAAATTCGGTTTGTTTTTTTTTTAACGTATATTATAGAACATAGATAGGTAGGTGTACATTTTAAAATAACATTAATAGAATTTTTGGACCGTTTTCAAAGCGATTTCCTGCGTGTGTTTGTTCTCCTTCGTGACCAAATAAAATACAATATTATTAGTCTTCACGTGGTGGTAAAGCGACTTAGATGCGACCCTAGAAATAACACGACCACGTCATTCCAGTATGGCCCCAACCGAGCTCTTGGCAACACTTGGTTGTCGGCTATTTTTGTACTCGGGTCACAATGACTTTTTTTTCCGTCGTCAACACTGAACAGCTTATGGGCAAACCGGTGATACCGCACAGGCAGCCAGTAAACGCATACCTATTCTAAAGGCTTGTATATTCCAACAAGTCACACGCATACATAAACACTTATCGTAGTTGCTACTGGCTGCGAACGACCGCCGACGCTGCCAAGTACTCGACGGCACATGTGCTAAACAGCCACTATAAAAAAACACCATACAAAACAATTTCACAAAAAAACGAATCGAATAAAACGACCTTTTTTGTATTGTTTAAACTTACTTTAATAAATTTTGCGAATTTCTTTCGTGAAAAAAAAATATACTAAAGAAATACGATTGGCTAAAGACATGTTGTTCTGTTTTTTGAAAGAAACCCATTGAAGTGATTAGGAGCAAAATTATTACAAGTGGTATTTTACCTAAAACTATACTTGAACTCAATAACTCCACATATGAGTTATTTGCATACAAATTTTTTAAGATGCCATTGAAAATAAAATCATGCAAACCTTTCTTTTTATTGTAGCAATGATGAAGATTTACAAAACAAATCGAAATAAATATGTAGTATATCTAATATTATAACAATTTGATGTAATAAGTTAGTAGTAGGTACAAATAGCGCTTATACAATTAAAACATTTATTAAAAGCTCCGTTATAACATTAATTATTCATCGCCGTAATTAGAACATGACGTTTGGGGATTTCACTTTAATTTGTCTTAAATAATATAAAAGGGGTGAACCGTCTGCCACTAATAAATTACACAACTGAAATTATTTCTAATTGATTTAGTTCGAGATTTCACAATTATTACAATATAATATCTGTCAAGTTTTATAATACAATTATTCGAATTTCTAATTGTATTATCGCCAAAACGCAAAGTTATAAATTTACTTTCAGACTTTACCACACCTTGTAACAAACGGTAAAGTACCATAACGGTTTTGATAATATTTGTGTCAATTATTATATTCAACCATCTTAATAGACTTATAAACGGTGGTTTAGTGTTTTTTTTTACCAATGTGATTTCCCTAGTGACTGAATATAGTTTTTGGTTAGGTACAAAGGTAGTTAAATTGTGTAGTGCTATGCCATGAAATTAAAAACAATTTTTTTTTTTATAAAAAAAAAACATTAATTTAACGGAAAATTTCTTTAAGCTTTTTTTAATTTTCGAATCGAGAAGCCTAGCAACAAAAAACTATTGTATACATTTTCTTCATTGATTTTGGTTGTTATAATATATTGTAATAAATAAACCCAAAAGACTTTGTGAAATCAATATTGCTTTTTGTCACTGAATGTGTGATAAACGTTGAATATTAGTAGGTAAAATATAGTTTGGGATTTTGTGTTTGTTTTATAATAGTGTTTTGTATCTGACATCATAAGCCCATTTTTATTTTTTTTAGTGACTAAAAATGGTATCAGTCCATATTACAATCCTAATTGAATCAGTAATTTTTTAAAGAACGTAAGACGTCATGAATATCAAATTTGTTTTCAACATTTTATGATAGACCTAAAGTGGTACACAGCTTTGAGCTTCCGACGATATTTAAAACATCTGGGTCCTATCGTGACTAACCTATGTTGTTTCGCAGATGACTGATTAAATTATTCAAATTTAAGAATATGAGCTGTTACCCAAAAGTCCCTCGTGTGGGCTGCAATGTTAGCAAATTTCTATAATATTTTAAGATATATTTATTCTGAATAGAATAATTTATTATGTGAATTCGGAATTAGTGGTTTTGCGTTTATACATTTCTATAAGGTTTCTGTCTCAACGGCTATAGGTTTTAGAGGTTTAAATATTATACTTGCTCCGCGCTTACACTAAATACCACAGTAAACGAAAACGAATAGTGATACATTTCACTATTGGCCGTTTTTGGCGTTGTATAATGTTTAATTATTTATTTTTATTTTACAGCGTTCGCGTTCCCGAGTCTAAGAGCCGGATACTCCGCTGTGTTACCTAGCCAATTCGGGTAAGTCGATTTCCGTTTTCTCAAATGCTTATGCACACTTTAATTTACAATGTTATACAATATAAAACAATATCTACCCTACGCCTAATGAATACAAAAATATGTATGCGTCCAGAAAAGTACGAATTTTCTTTTAATATCACATTTGGTCGTTCGATGTTGGGATCATTTTTATAGAGAATCAAAATAATTTTTTTTTTTAAAGAAAGATGTTACTGTAAAGAGAAACAAATTAACGATTATTGCGATTTATTTTTTTTTAATAACCCATTTGTTTTCCTTTTAAGTATGTTGCGGGCTGGCACCAACCCAATAAAATAAGGGTTTGGCCCGAATTCAAATGTATGCAACAATGTTTGGAGGCACGCAATGTTATGTAATCGGTCAAGTTTTGATTATAATTTTGTTTTTTAATTTCCTAGATAAAATACACACAAACCAATTAGGCTTAGGTTCCACTTTTACGAAATGAATTACGGACTCGGTCAGAGGTTTATACAGGCTCGACCGCGGGGCTGTGGCCTGTAGAGCCAAATGATACTTAAGAGTATAGCGGATTGTTCTGGATGGAACGAAATGAGAGAAACCGCACGATATATTCACAAGTAAATCTATTTAAAAGCAGAGTTTCTGAGTTTGAAGATTTTATTTTTTTGTTTTTAGCGAGGCTTTAGCGTTTTTTTGCGATTCTAAAATTTTAATAAACCATAAACAGTTCGATATTTTTGTTGGATATTTTTTTAAACATTGAACGTGTGTTTTGGCGTGTGTGACATGTTTTATATTTGTTGAAAACTAATTTACACGTTATGGTTTGTGGATTTGTGTAGTTAACACACGATGGTTTTTGTCGGTGATATTCGAAATAGTCCACCTAACAACTATTATATTGTTATTATAATAATAAATTACAAGCATTTAGGTTTGGTTTTTTTTTTTATTTGTTTATTATTTTGGTTTAAAACTGAGCGTCGACATCGATGCATATCATAAACAGTAATATAACTTTCGCATTATAATATGCAATTCGTAAAATGACACACATTTCACAAATTTATGTAGTATGGACATACACCCTAAACGAAACCTGCACACCATAGTTAACCAACCAACCGAGACACACATTCGGAGAGCACATAATCGACAGCGACAGTATTATTATAACAAATTCCGAACTCCTTCTCAACTTAAAATTTAAACTGCAATTTTAAATAGTCTGAGAGTTACGTGGACTTTTGGGACACCTGTGTAATTAATTGTGTACAATATATTTTAATTTACAACTATTGCACTTGTATGCGAGAACCGAGAGAAAAAAAAATTACCACCGCCGCCGGTGCTGTACTTGTACAATAAGCGCACATGTTCCATCCACGTGTATTTTGTTTTAGCCTTCGTGCTGCAGTCGTTTCGGCGTGTAGGGTTTTTTTTTATTTTTATCTTGTTCAAAAGGGGGGCCAGAAAACGCACAACTGGGTCAGGCGTAGACGCTTTACGGTGTAAAAAAAACAAAACAAAACAATAGGAAACAATGGGGCACACACACACTCACTCGCACTATTGAGGTTTTCCTGCTATTCATAAATGAATCGCTGCGCCACCCCAAGTATCGTCGTAAACTTTTTCCTGACCCCTCTCGGCTGACACTCCTGCGCTACAATGCATTACTATTATTATTGTATACAACGTCCAGGTTACACCGAATCCGCCAAAGGGTCTTTCTTGCCGGCGAACCGACCGAAAATATTAATATAATAATTGCACGGCCGATAGGTTTTTATATTATTATTGTCATTATGTTCTATCAACGGGCAACGGCGATCAACGCAAAGTGTTTAAGTGCGTTTCCGGCGGAATAAAGTCGAGCAAAGAGAAGACCAAGAGGGAAAAAAGTAAAAATATTATATAATCTCGCCGAAGAAACCGGCGACACGTCTCCGATTAACCACCTCTTCTTAGGTCCACAAACTTCTCAGCCGTTATCTTATATAAATCATTACGGAGTGTATATAATTGAGATTTTCTCGTCCCTCCGCCGCCTTTCCGAGAGCAAATCCCGTTACCGTCTATTGTTTGGGATCGCAAAGGATGTCCGAACAATGGAAACTTTACAACGAATACAATACAATTAATATTATTTCCCCTAAGTCTGTGTGTGTGGATACAAGTTTCCGTGCTCGATACCGTTAGGTCGAAAACGCTATTAAAAATTATCAAAACACATAATATACGTACTATGGCGATGATGATAATAATATTTTGTACCTAAATGTATGTCATTTGCACAGAACAATACACATTACACACACCGTAAACACCCTTTACGTATTTCTTATAATTATTATTACCGTCTTTTATTTACATTCCGCACGCTGCCGCCTATACAGTGAACTCAACACATATTGTTTTATTAAAGTGTACACAACACTTTATACGAAAATCCGCTTTGTTTTTCTTTATTTGTCTTCTTTTTGCAGTAAGTATGATATATCTATGCGCTATCGCACCTGTTCAATTTTATTTTTTTGTTACTCGAATACAATTTTTCGTCGGGTTCCATACACGAAAAAAATGAATACATTAAAGTGATACAACTTTTGTGAGGTTTAAAGACCACACAAAATATGATACTTTTAAAAATTTTAACTCGTGCGTAGCCTTTGTAAACTCTTTCTGATACATGTCGACAATCTACATAAAGAATTCCCCAGTCAGGTAGTTAAAAAGATAGAAAAAAAAACATATAATTTTTCCAAACATCCAATACCTTATCAGCTCCGCATCGAAGTTAAAATAATAGTTTTTCATATACCCAATAAGATAAAAAAAAATTATCTTCTTTAGAAGACTATATTAAAATCCATAGGTACATTATATTTTTATAATTTTGACTAGTATTTTATTTAATTAATCTACACCTAAATCCTAATGTCTGTAAAAGAGTATTATTATCTGTTAAAATTTTAGGACACTGTTACCAAAGATTAGCTTCAACATAGATCGGTTTATTGGACTATTATATTTTCAGTAACACCGATTAAAATCCGTTAAACATACATTAAAACGATTAAGCGCTTAGAAGGTCGCATTTGGTAGTAAAATCGAGTGTCGCGTCACTTTTATTTCATATGAATTTATGCAGTTGTAATTTACAAACAAAACGAAGAGCAACTCAAATTTTCATTAGATGGTTATATATTCGAAAACTGAGGGAAAAGTTCTAAAAAAAAAACTAAAATAATTCTGAAAGATTAGAGAATATTATGTTTATTGTTTTGTTTTGTCTGTTAGTATAAAATAAAATACCACCATTTCACTTGGAGTATTTGGACACGCGTACTACTGATTTCTTTTATAGCCTTTATGTAATCCATTTAATGTAAGATACTTATTTTCTCGAAAAATATTGAAAACTTATAGTTTTTCATTTTAAAAGCAAGAGTTTCAAAAGTTGATAGAGCTCTGAAAAATACTGAAAAAGATAAATATTTGGGAAATTTATAATCACATAAACAAACATTTGTTCAAAAAGAAAAACTACAAAATTATAATTATTTTAAGAAATATTGAGTATCTTACGTTAAATAAATAAATACATATATATATATATATTTAAGTATGCAAACATTGAAGAGATTTATTTTAAAAGTTCAACCAACTACAACACTTATATTTTATTATGTTGGCCGCGGAATACCTAATATTTTATATTTTATATTATATATTATATATTACTATACAACAATATAGTAAACGTGATTCTGGGGAAATGGATGCAGAACAAAAACGCGCTTCTGCTTGGGCGTAGATATGAGGTACGCACGTATGAGCAATAGATTTGCTAAACAATTCGTTACAATAATAATGGCGTTACACTGTTGAACACTTGTTCGTTCTATTTTGTATATTTGCACTCAGAACGTACTTTTTTTTTGTTACTTCGGATTAAATTCAATTAAATCAAACTAGAAAGATAGGTCGTCATAAGCTGTCTCGGCACAAGGGTCAAAGAATACCCATTCCGTTTCCGAATTATTGCGATAGCCTCTGTAAGTACACAACATTTTTTTCGCCACTACTTCAGTTCAATTATGTCCTTTACCGAATCGATGCTTTTCATCTTGGAAGCAAACTAGGCTTTCTCAGTCTTCGCCCATCATGGGTTGTCGGTCGTATTTTATTCAAGCATACATATTCAATCAACCTTTGATACGTTTCGCCGTTTCGCTTGGGTTCATGAATCTGCATATAAACGCTGTTTCTTCGGAATTTATATATACGCCTAATTTATCCTCCTCCGGCTTAGTGCCCGACTCTTTTGTAAAGTCTAGTTTTATTGGCACAATTACAATATATAGTTCTACCGATAGGTACATATTATGTACGCAATATCGAAACGTACAGTACCTAAACAATAAGCCCATAATAAACATGTATATTTGTCTTCGTATATATATGTTTTTTCTCCGTTCCTCCGCGGCCGATGGTTTTAATTGAAAGCGAGAAACAAGCGCAACAAATTGCCGCCGTCAAAGCTTCAAGTCCTCTTTACCCATGCGGCTTACACGTCCCGACCGTGTTCTCGGCACAATAATAATAACAATAATAAAAGAAAATAATAAAAATGAAAATAAAAACTGCGCGACCGGAATACTTCGTCGTATGCACGCAAAATGTGTCAATATACCACTTCACCCCCTTCACTTTATCATACCCGCTTGTTTCTTACACCCTCCGGCTCAACCGTCTAAAAAAAAAAAAAACGCCGAGCTACGCACTAACGAGAGGGAGAGAGTGAGAAAGACAGCAAGAGAGAAATAATGAAAGGAAAAAGAAAAGCGAAGGGTGTGTGTGTGTGTATATCCATTGCGCGCCACGTGCTACGAGGGCGAGGGGGTCGCGCCCGCGATGAGTCATTCGACCGTGTTTTGAGTCATCCTCGTCTACCCTGCACCTCCCCTGGCCTCCCCCGGCCCTCTACTCGCTGACTCTCGGTCACC